ACCAGACAGACCGGTAAAGATGAAGATACAATACCCGACAACCGTGAGTCGAATAAGAAAACAGAGCTTTCCTCCCTCCATACCCCTAATTCTCCTTCTCCTTCTCTCCAAAGCTAAAACAACTACAGGCGGGCTTGGCAACCCTAACCCCCAGGACATCCAGAAACTCCTCAAACAACACACACCTTGCAATTGCGCTGGCGGATATATCACCCAAGTTCCCACGGATAAAGTCAGTGGCCCCATCTCCTGTACAGGGAGCGTTATGGCATATCTTAAAAAAGACAGCAAATATTATTGCATTAAGCCGCCCGAGTTTGCCGCCCCTGGTGTTAAACAGTCCACTTGTGTCTGCAATGTTACAAAACAAACGGTCGATGTATCGTGCTATAGCCATGTTTCTTATTGCAATAATACCAGCATGTTTCAAGCTGTCATTACCAAAACGACCACAGGGGGTTCTTCATCTACTTCTATCCGACTCCCCTGCACAAACAAAGACGTAGGCAAAACCGTCTGTTGGCCAGTTCATGGTACACCCCATGTCTCTGATGGAGGTGGCCCACAAGACGAAGTAAAATTAGAAAAGGTCAAAAAATTATTACAACATTTCACCCCAAAATTCGTCTACCATCCCATTGTTCTTCCCAAACCAAAAACCCAACATCTCGATACTAACACCCTCAATCTACTTGAACTTACTCATAAACTACTTAACGCCACGAACCCATCCCTAGCTGCAGATTGCTGGCTTTGCCTCTCCCAAGACCCTATGCCTTATGCTTTCCCTTTCAATTTCTCCCAAAACTTCTCCTTCGCTGAGAATTGTCAAGCGTTCTTACCCCTCTTGGTACAACCAATATTGTTTAGTAACACAACTTGCTTCCTCTCTTACAACACCGAGGACTCCACGGACAATTCCACAGCATCGTTAGGCTTCGTCACCTTTGCTAACTGTGATACGTATCTTAACATTTCTGATTATTCCCAAAACTTTAGTGAGCCTAATACAAATCTTACTTGTCCCCCAAATAACACTGTTTTCCTTTGCGGTTCTAACAGGGCATATACAGCTATCCCCAAAACATGGACTGGTTCCTGCACCCTTGCCTTTATTCTCCCACAGGTCAACGTCATCAATGGCACGGAACCTGTTCCAGTCCCCACGTTTGATTATATCGCTGGCAGGTCTAAAAGAGCTATTCAACTCTTACCCACTTTTGCCACACTAGGGTTCATGGCTGCAGCCGCTACTGGATCTGCGGGACTGGGGTATTCCTTACAGCTTAAGCAAGTCACCGAAGGACTCATCTCAGATCTCCAACAGGTGGCCTCTACACTGACCCTCTTACAGGACCAGATAGACTCCCTTGCGGAGGTGGTTCTCCAGAATAGGAGAGGTTTGGACCTCCTATTGGCAGAACAGGGAGGGCTTTGTCTTGCCTTACAGGAACGCTGTTGTTTCTACACAAACCGCTCAGGCCTGGTCCGGAACAAAATCGAAGACCTCCAGAAAACTCTAGAAAACCGTAGAAAACAACTGGCTGAAAATCCTCTGCTTACCATCTGGAATGGACTTTTGCCCATTCTTCTCCCCATTCTCGGGCCCATAGTCGGACTTCTGTTCGCCTGTGCCCTCGGCCCTGTGCTTTTCCAAAAACTTAAAATGTTCATTAGACAACAGGTCACATCCCTCTTTTCACGCACTATACAGATCCACTATGCTAGACTTGAAATGCAAGATTTCTCTTAATCACATTATACTCTTGATTTCCATCCACACTGCCACGTCCCATCAAGCGACATGGTGACACCCAGTGCATGTTATTTCTGTTACACCACTCCATCGACCCCCAAACCTTGGCAAGATGACAGCTAAGACTGCACTTAAGGCCCCGATGGGATTCCCTTAAGGAGAGTATGAACAACTGCATATGGGTTTGTGCC